GACTGAGGCGCAGATAGAAACCCGATTTGCTATTTGAAGCGGAAGTGACCCTTGAAGTTTGATTTTATTTGTGCGGCGTTGCCATTGGCAAACCGATTTAAGCTGCTGCGTCTTACGACTCGACTGGGTCCGGCCCTCCTTATCCACGGCTGCTGTTCATGTGCACAAATATGTATGTACATTTTTATTTATTTATTTATTTATTTATTTCTTGCTGTTCAATTTTTAATCAACGGCTTTGGCTTCTTGGCAGCGACTTGTACACTTTATGCAATTTCCTGTTTGTCTGATGCTAAACTCAAATACCAAAAGGCAACAAATAAAAAATGTAGCAAGAAAGATGAAAATAAAAAAAGATGAAGAAATCTAACTCGGCTCTTTGCCTATTTTTAGGTGCCATCCTACAGAATTCAATGTCAACGACAGCTGCACCAGCAGAGTAGCAAGTGGAGCAGCGAGTGGGCTAAGGGATGCGGCGGGTGTCGAGTCGAGTCAAGTTGAGTCGAGTCTAAGGGCTGTGGACTGAATGGCAATTGGAAAAAGCGCTCGTGTCGGAAGTCCGTAAAGCAGCCATCAAGTGCCAACTTGAACATAAATAGTTAAGACACGTCTTATAATAGACAGAAATATAAAAACAACAACTTGATGTTTGCTGGCGTCAAAAATGCAAAGCGTATAAAAGTGTAGCATACTTATAAGCGCTAAATATAATTGAAATCGGTTCAACCATGGTTGGACTATGTTTTATGTGGTATTCCAAGCATATAATGAAAATTATCAATAATAATTCTCTTGGTAGATATCTTGATGTGGTCTATCAGCTAAGGACTGTCCAACATGAATCACAGAAAAGCTGCTATATTATATATTTTTTATGGTGAATTATTCATTAATTATATCGGTAATAATGTTAATTATAATAATAAATCTGTTGATAACCTATTAAAATATTAAATTAAAGTAAGTTTTTTATGTAAATATATTATTACATATCTTATATATAATTTTATAAATTATTCTCAACAAAATTCTTTATATAAAAATAATTTTAAGCCATTATTCATAAAAAGATACATAACATAAATAAATGAAATAATACTCTTAAGTGACAAAAATAATTGGAAATTAAAATGACAATCTTAAATTTCTGCAGAAATATTTTAGTTTAATTGCATAATCTTAAAAAGGTTGTGGCGAAAGAGATTTCCACGGCACAGGTAAGCAGTGCTTACGCCCAGTTCTTGGGAAATTCGTGCGCTGTGCATGCGACGAGCCCAAAAGTTGAAATGAGTGTCCAGCCAAGGTGTCAAAGCCAAAGACAATAGAAACATGCACTGACACCAATACACACAAGCACACACACACACACATAGGTAGATCCAACTTCGTGGTCGGTCATCGTGCTGTTGCTTACGTCACAAATATGCGTAGGCGTCATCATCGTGCGGCAACGACGCACCCACTGCCCCTTCGTAGTTCAGTCCAGTCGTGAGTCGTCGTCGCTCATTGAAAGAGCAAAAGGGCCACTGCCGTAATGTCTCCATGCCGTACAATAGATGCTTTCCCCAACCGTGGAGCGGTGTTTGCTCAATGAAACTCGTAACTTCGATTTTTTGTTGTTGACGTAGTCGCCGTTGTTGTTGCGACCGTCGGCTGTGCACTGCGCCGGCGCCTCGCTGAATCATCTGTTGTTGTCACGCTGCTGCCACACCGACCGCCTGCCGTGGCCCAGTCAATGCATTTCGCTTGTGGTAGGACAGTTTACGAGCTGCTGCTGGGCACAGGGCAGAAGGTAGCTTCGCAGCGTGCGCTGCGGTATGGGAGACAACAGCATTTCTCAGCTCACTCAGCTGTTCGATGTGCGTGTAGACTTTTCAACGCAGTGTAGAGATTTGTGCAACAAATTGTGTATTGAAGCCGGCTTTTTGCTCGGCCTTCCCTATATAGTTCATGTTTGAGCACCTTTCGAAATTGTTTGGAAGACAGAGATTTTGAAATTATAATATACTTTAATTAAAAAATAAATAAAAAATTTCTTATGTGTTCAATTATAATTATAAAATATTTTATTTATATATATGTATATAACTATTATATATTTTTCATGAGTTTTTAAAAAATGTTAAATATTCGTTTCTCATTTTTATGCTTTTGTTATACATGTTTCACATAATTCAATTTTTAGTTCTTTATTTTTTCTACTTTTTCATTTAAATTTAAGGCTATTTTATATATATATGTTTAATATATATTGTCTCATTTTTCTGCTTGATTTTAATATGTGAATCTCATATTTCGATTATTTTCCTGTTTTAGTTCCATTTTGTATATATATTTAACTTCAAAATAATTGTATTTATATAAATCTGTCTATTAAAAAAACTCTACAAAAAATCAGTATCGTCATGCGAAAAAGTCGAATCTAAAAGCCAACCGCAACAGTCAAATGAATGAGAATTCAGATAGCGCGATGTTAGCTTAAGCTTCGTCTCGCAATTAAACTATATTATAATTTTTTGTGCTGGCTCGTAAAACGTAAAAGCCACAGACATTGTGACGACAACAGAGAACCGAGCAAAACTATCCATGGCCGGCACCTGCCCCAATGCCCATACCAAATGATGAATTTCAGATGAGTCGCACACACATACACAAATAGAAAACAGAATAAGTATCGAATCGGAATCAGCCGTAGCAGCAGCAGCAGCACCAGTAGCAGTAGCAAAGGCAGTCGATGACGATGATCCTTGCATAGTATAAGTACGAGTGTAACTATGAATTTTGGTCGTAGTTCTCCTTCATTCATGTATGCCTTGCTCGGCGTCGGCTTCATTCGGTTCTCTATCTAGGCGCCTAGCAATTCATGTACTCAGTGCTTTCCATGTGTTGGGAAGTACATTTGTATTTTATTTTGTTGTTGCACTTGTTGTTATTGCCGTTTTGTTTTGTTTTCTTTTTTACAACTATCGCGAATGTGTGGGCGTCATCAATTTTCGAAGTTGGTAATTCGAAATAGGGGTTTAGCTAGGGGTAGATTGCGATTGAGATTGCTTGTATAACTAGACTGAGAAAAGTTGCGAGGCTGCGCCAGTGATAGATGTACTGTGAGATAAACTAATTTAGTAGATGTCTCTAATTAATTTAATAATATTTAATTGATTAATAATATTATATTATGCAAATTGAATTGAATTTTTACCATAAGGATTCATTATAAAAGATTTGCTGAATATTTATTTTATTTTTTTTTTTTAATTTTTATTAAATCAATTTTAGCTCAATATTACTGTATTTCTTCAAAGATGAATCTTAATTCAAACATAATTAAATTTTTTATATATAATTTTTAATAAGAATACTCTATTAATATAATACTTTGGCCTCTAAATTATTTTAATAGAATTTCAGTTATTCTCTTTATTTTAAGCCAACTTCTTAAGCAGTGTTGTGCAACTCCTTTAACTAGTTTATAGTCCAACCTTTTATGCCAAAACTAGCTTTTACGTTTTATTAATGGGATTTTCCTTTATTATGTGGACGCTCATCAAATTTTCTGAATAATAGCCTGAACATTGGGTTTAACCACACGAAATCAATTTTCAAACTAAACCGCAATCTTTACAGGGACAGTCGACACTAGGAAATGAAGACGAAGAAGCGCTAAAATCCCAGCTGCTAATAGGAAAATCCTATTAACATTATGAACTAGCTAAATGCGAAAATTCGAACAAGTCGCTGCCCCTACGAGTGAAAAAAGGACATCATATGGGAGATGCCGGCTCAATGGGCGCAGTTAGAGCGTAACGCTTACCGTTGTACAAGTGTTCTCTCCCTCTCTCTCTCACTCTCTCTCGCTCGCTCTCTCTCTCTTGCTCCCTCACTCGCGCTCTCCTCGCCGTGTGGCTCTTCGTTTTCGCTCAGCTTGGCGAAAAACTCTACACATGACGCAGCGCACGGGCTGCTGGTGTGACGATACTTCGGCTTTGGTATCGGCTTCGGCTCTGGATTCGGCTACAGCTTCAGCTTTGGCTTTGGCTTGAAAACAAGTGGTTGAGCGTGCGGCTTGCTCAGTATTGAGCGAACAAACGTAAATGTCGTTTCGTGCTCGTTGCCCGTTGACTGAGTAAACGCACAGGAAGCAGCAGCAGCAGCGGCAACAGCCAGAAGCAGTAGCAGACGCAGCAGCCAGCGGCCAGGACAAGTGAAATTCGAGGCACGGGCGACACAAGCAACAGCAACAACGAGCAGCATTGCCCGAAACGAATGCACAACGAACCTCGCACGACGACTACGACTAGAAACGACACACACACACACACTCACTCATGTAGGGGCAAGTGGCGGCGTGTATGAACATCTACAAAGTGGAAATACGAAACGCCTTGAGGAGAGCAGCGCCGACGTCGCAGTCCGTGACGGCAACAGCAACAGCAGCAGCGGCGGCAGCAGCAGCAGCGGCAGCGACAGCGACAGCGAACGCGTCAACCAAAAAGCAGACAAACAGGCAAAACCTACTGAGACGATACGACGAGTCCTTGCTCGTCGGTTCATATGTGCGGAACATTGAAAATATACACTAGAACAAGTTTTCACACCAAATAAGAGACTCCACACACAAATACCAAAAAGAAAAGATAAAAGGAAAACAACAACAAAATAGCATCAAGCATAACAACAATAACAACAAGAAGCAATCAAGTGAAATTCGTGAAAAATACAAGTTTTTAAAGTGCAAACTTATTTCCCCCCTAAAAATATACTAACAAATATTTCTTAAAAATTTTCGAAAAATTTTCAAAAATAAACAAAACTACAGCAAAGCAAAAATCGTGTTAGATCTGTGAAACAAATATAAAAATTAAAAATTAAAAATATATAATATATAAAACTAAAACAAAAGTGCCGCAGCTGAGCGCTAAGCAAAAAAGTGCTAACAAGTTCCTTCAACAAAACAAAACAAACAAAAATATAATATAAAATATAAAAATATATATACATAACAATAAAAACAAATATTGTTATAACTGTAACAGAATTATACACAATACAAGTTTTCTTTGGATTTTTATTCAAACACACACATACAGTGAACAAACAGCCAGAGCGAAAAGATCTGAGAAACGAACGAAGATAACCCAAGTGCCGTGCGTTCAATTACTGTCTCCTAAAATAGAGTAGGGCCAACAATTTGGCAAGCGCAAGATTAAGCAGGAAGCAGCCAACGGGAAGCTATAAACACAGCGAGCGGTCAAAGCTGAGATTTTTAGGCAGCCGCAAGTTAACTTCCGTGCCAGCAGCAGCAGCAGCAAGTGAAGAGAAACGTGACGCGAGACAGTAGCAAGTACGCTATATTGCCGACGGCAGAGATTTAATATATACACAAGTACACATATTCACATGTATGTGCATTGCGTGTGTGTGTATATAATAATAGGCAGCAACTAGTGTTAGAGCCGTGTGTGTCGTCTGTCAGCAACTCCCTCGACAAAGGCCAACAAAGTTCAACAAACAACACGCCAGACACTTCACTTGGACAAGTAGACAATTGATTATTGATTTTGTCTAAAGGCAACTTCACAGCGCATAAAAAGTAGCGAAAAGCAAAACAAAAGAAGGCAAAGCAGTTGCAGCCAGTGTTGTGCAGTGTTAAGCGCTAAAGCGCGCAGTGTTGAGCAGCGAGCATGAAGACTTACAAGCGCTAAGCAGACAATACACAAACAACAATCAAAGCAAATACTGAAGTGCAAAACCAACAACAACAGCTAGCTCGCACGCCCTCTCTCGCTCTCGCTCTCACTCTCGCTACCCCCAGCTCCTAGTCTTCGACTTCCCTTAGTCCGTTTTCCATACACACTCGTACATACTCTCGCACGCAAGTAGACAAACACAGCGTCAACATAAGCCGTCTAATTGAGAAAGTGCGCCAAAGCAACAAATCGAAAATGTTCTTCTCGCTCGCACAGACCTTGGTCTGCGTGCTGCTCATCAATGGCGGCCTCTATGCGCTGCATCTGAGCGGCAACAGCGAGAAGCAGGCGGGCGCTAGCTCCAGCTCAGCGCTGCAGCCGGGCTCCGGATCGGGCTCGAGCTTGCCATTGGGCGCAGGTCATGTGAGCGCTGGCGGCGCTTGGCAGTCGCAGCCCCAGCAGCAGCTGCATCAACATGCGGGCGGCGGAGCGCCACCTGGCGGCGGACTAGGCCATGGGCATGGCCATCGTTCGGCTGCTGCGGCTGCTTTCGATGCGACCACGGGCCGTTTGAACAAGGAAATTGCGGACATGGCGCAGCTGGAGCGCGAGCGTTTGATGCTCCTCGGCCTGGCCAAGCAGACGGCCGAGAGTCCCGACACGCCCGCCGGTCATCACGGCCGGCCCATCATTGCGGGCCGCGTCAAGATGCAGCCCAGCGAGGAGTTGGATGTGAGCGACTATTCGGCGCTGATGCAGCAGGCGGCACGCGATCTCATGTTTGGCAGCGTGCAAAAGCAGCCGCCGCCGCCAATGGCCACCGACATGGATTACGAGCAATTGCGCGAGCTGGGTCGGCGTCCAGTTAAGTACGACTATGGACGCGTTATGCAGCCATCGGAGCATGAACTGGAGAGTGAAACTCTCTATGAGCCGCTGCATGGTTTCGGCGACTTTGATGACTTCTCAGAGCTGGAGCAGAATTCTGATGACCCGCATGTGGGCGAGGATGAGCTGCTGCGCGAGCTAGATACCTATCAGTACCATGGCCTAGAAGAGGAGCCGCTTTCGCTACCCGAAAATCCCTATCGCCTGCAGGAGCAGCTCGATTTGGACGCACCCGAGACACTGCAAAAACTGCTCGAGCAACAGGAGCTGCAGCGCGATGCGCCTGCCAAGTCCAACCAAAAGACGCACTCGCTCGGCAACTATAACATTCGCATGCAGCAGAAGTGGGCCAGGAAACGGGCTCAGGTGCCCAGGCAACAGCAGCCAGCGCTCCAGCGCAACATCTTCGGTCAACACTTCAAGCAGCAGCGCGGCAAACTGGCTCTAGCCAACTCAGAAGCCACTGCCAGCAAGCATCTGAAGGCGGCCACACGTTCCGGCGGCTCTAGCTCCAGCTCCAGCTCCAGTTCCGCTAACGTGGAAAAGTCGGCGCAGAATGAGAATGGCGACGCAGCGAAGAAACAACCGCACGAATCATCGGCAGCAACTGTTGGTGATGCACAGCAGCAACAGAAGCAGCAGCCGTCGTCGTCGTCCTCCTCCTCATCATCGTCGGCATCGTCTTCGCAACAGCAGTCTTCGCAGCAGGAGCAAAACAAGAAAGAATCGGATCCATCGCTTATGCTTCCCAATCATAAACGATCTGGCAACGCTGCCAGCGCTGGACTATCTGGCTATACGTCGCCCCCAGTTTCCCACAGCATTGCGAGCCAATTAATGCTGCGCACAGCGCGCGGCCAACGGCAATACGATGTGCCACAAATTGGTGAGTACGGCAGATTATTATTATATAGATAATATGGATCGGGAAAAACTGTGTGTGTATGATAATAAATGGAATATGAATTGATTGGCTAATGTTAAGTTTTTTGATTTAACAAAAATTTTTAATTAGAAATATTTCGTTATATATTTTAAATTACGCTCGACTTCGTGTTAAGCGAGCGGATTTCAAAATATAAAATATAGAATATAGTGGAACATCTTAAAATTTCTATGTTTTGCCTATAAATATTTTGAGTCAAACTCCATTTTAACCTATCCAAATAGAACTTCTTTTCGGATGCTGATAACTTTTATCTTGTCTGAGGAAAGGCGAAAATTTAATAGAGGCTCTAGAGCTTTATAGAAGTTTCGCTGTACTGTCAAAGATTTTATTTATAGGTTATTTGATTTAAGTATCTCATTTATCGGATTTGCTTAAAAATTCTCTATCGAACACCAAGTTTCGAACTTAAAAATGGATATAAAATTCTTAACTTGTATTTAAGCAAAATAAAAATTAGACGCGCTTTGTTTCATTATTTGATGAAGAGACAAGGACAGCCAAGAGGCTTAATAATTCTGATAATTTGTATTCAAACAATAGATTATTTAACCTTTAATATATGACACACGAGGATAGCCAGAGGTTAATTATTACCGATAAGATCACTTCGTAATCTATGAAGCAATGAAGTGGAAAAAAATAGATATATTTACAGCAGACCTTAAGTGTCCTACGCCCGACAAATTTGAATAAATAATTAAAACATTAACATTGTTTTTCTGACATTCTTATCGTATTGTATCTATCTTTATAGTAAACTAATTGAAACATTTATGGCCTTTTCGAATTATGATGTTTGTTTTACTAATGCTAACAATGTATACCTAAATAGATTATAAAAATCCAACAACATGCACATATAGAGGCATAGATCATTCTCATTAGGCGTTAATAACATTTGTATTTGCCGAGCAAGCACATTCCCTAATTAAGCATTATCTCTGACCCCTGAATATGGAGTATATAGCTAATTTTATACGCCGCCTGCCAGGTCGGTTTTCATTTATTGTAAGGGCAGTCGCGCTTAACCCCTGGCGTGTTTACGTATTTCGGTTACTTCACTTGATTCAGTTATTAGTTTTTATGACTTATTTTTATTTTGGGTCGCGACCACCCCTTATCAAACCGGCCCAAGGGCGGTCGCTAATTGTTCCACTGGTCCGGTCTTTCTATTTTTATTATTTCAACATTTATGTCGTTCCTTTTTTTGTGTTTTCCTTTTATTCCTATTGGTGTAGAGAAGTTTACTTATATGTGTGTATAGTTGGGACAGGCCCACGGAACTTGTGTGTGGCGCTTGCATAATTCATAGTTCAAAGACTCTAACGGGAACAATAACAACTGCACTGCGTTAGCGCCTTTTGGAATTTAATCCTTTTAGTCAGGCCAAGTTGGCTAGCTGGCTAGTTGGCCAGGCTGGCCAACCATGCTGGCCGGGCCCTCATCAATCAAGAATCAGCTATCATTTAATAGATTGTCACTAAATCATTTGTCAACAAACTGGTCGGCGTCCACGGACAAAGTTTTGTGGATCGAAACGCGAATAGGACTCTCTCTCTCTCTCCATATATAGCTATATTTATATGTATTTTGCGAATGCTCGCATTTAATTGGCAGCTATATTTGGAAGTTTCCAACTTTTTGGCCATTGCATTTTAGCAAATTAGTCGCATTGTCTGTGAGCAATTTTCCACGAATTTTCATTGCCGCACAGCTCAGTTCAGTGGCACTTTTCAACGGTCTGGCAACTTGGCTGGCCGCCTTTTGCTAAATTACTTTACACCAACTTTTGATGGTCGCCATGAATACAGAATGGAATTGGTATTAGAACTGGCACTGGAACTGGAACTGGCGCTGGCACTGGAACTGGAACTGGTTAACGAGCCGGCGCATTGTAATCAATTTTAATTTTTAATTAACACTTTCAAGTTTAATGACATAATTTTTACGGCCATGAGCTAAATGCCAAGCCATTGCGACAGACACTTGAACACCCACTTGCGCAGACGAGGCGTGAGTGGGCGTATTATCGGCCTTATTAAAATGTCGAAAATTTTGGAAAATCTTTCTTGTTATTGTCACGCCATGATGTATTTATAATGAAAACTTGACAGCATCATCAGCCATTTCATTAAGATAATTGAAGTCGAAAATGTTTCCATAACTATTTAAACTGTAATCTTAATTGAAGCGATTTAATTTTTGTTTAGAACTGCTACTGATTTATAAATAATTTTTCAAGCCAATGGGAAAAGGGGAAACTTGAATGAATGATTTCATTTCAATCTTTTAATATATTTTTGTAGATAATTAAAAAAGAATTATATAATATTTTAATGTTTTATTCTTCTATTATTATTGACAATATTTACTAACTTCGCTTTTCTTTAGCTTGTGTTTTTAAATATACTTTTTATTCTTAACCTTACTTAATTATATTTAAATTAATATCAATGGCTGCGCTTCTTTGATATTGAGACCAACTAAATGTATATTTCCCGCTCTCTTAATGCAATTAAAATGCATAATACTCAAAGTCTATAAGCCAATCAAATTTTATTGAAACTGTTATAAGCCCACTTCTCCTGTCTCTATGTCTTCCTCTCTCTCTCTCTCTCTCTCTCTCTGTAATATCTGCTCGTATCGAAATACGGCAAATTGCTGTAAACTTTATTTAAATGGCTTTTCCCGCTCCCCAAAAGAAAATTTTGGTTCGTTATGGTAAAACACAAATTAAATAAGACAATCAATGAATTTTCATTTTATGCGCATGTTTGCGCATCTTCTTCTTGTTCTTGTTGCCGTGTTTAATGCTGCTACTGCTGCTGTTTTTGTCGTTGCCAATTGTCACTGGCGCTTTTCATTGGAAATTTCCTTGTGTGTTTACGCACAATAGCAGGGCGTCGCAGAGAAACCTTGACAGCGCACAGCCCCAGTCCGGCCCACATTTCTAGAGGACTTTTGCTTATTTAAATATATATATATATATATGTAATATATATATTAATGTGTGAATGATGTTGTGTGTATCAAGCAACATGTGTGCGCTGCCCTATTGACGATGCAATAACGTCATCAACTGTCATCGGGCGCTTTTGTTGTTGTCCTTTCACACTTTGCAGTAGTTGGGAAAATTACAATTGTTATTTCAAGTGTTTACATTGAAATTGATCGCACCCACACACACATATAAAGCCACCCACACGTTCACACAGACACTCAGGTTGCGTAGCGCGTCATTTGCCTGGCGGAAAGTGCGGCCAACGACAAAGCCTGACGCCTGTCTCTGCGGTGTGAACTCTGCTGCAGGAGTCCTGCTGTTTGCGTGTGTCCTGTGCTGACCATACTCTACGAGCCTCTCTTTCCCTCTATCTGCGTCCCTTTCTCTCTGCCTCTCTCTCTGTGGGAAAATGCTTGCTGGCAGCTTCCTCATTGTCGCATTAACCTTTTCCATGGAAAAATGTGCGGCATTTATGTGATGGTCGCGTTTTTATATCATTACACCACTTATATACTTTCACATGATCCTTGATGTGTGTACGCCTTTGTCTGTGTGTGTGCAGTGTGTGTTTTTCCCACTAATTTAGTAACAACACCCCAGGGGGTGCCTGCTGACGACCGTCAGCCGTAGCCGTCGCCGTTACCGCCTTCGCCTTTGCCGTTGGCTCTGCCTCCGTCGCCGTCGCCGCCATCGCCGTCGCCGCCGCCGGACAGCCCACAGACACAACACTCATTTATATGGTCGCTGTTTGACATGTCCTTGCTGTGCGGGCAGCGTGCGCACGCCTTTGGTTTTCACTTTTGTTGATTTAATTTGTAATTCGAGTAACAACTCCGAGTGGCCACTGCCCGCACATTCACATTTTCACATCTGGTGCGCAGCGGACGCGCCTTCTTCAACTGTTCAAAGCGCTGTTAAATATTACGCAAATTAGTTGGAAACGTTATTGGAGTCCTTTCCCTCTCACTCACTCCCTCGCTGTCTGTGTGTGTTATAGTGTTTTAGGGTGGGATACGTCAGCGGTGTCCTGTCATGTGCGTGGGCTGCTGCAGCCGTGCTGTCTGCGTCTGTGGAAAATTTCTTAAGACAGTGACGAGCCCAGAAAATGCGACGACAGGCTGTCTGCTGGCTGCAGGCCTTCTGATTGGGATAGGTTGTGTGTGCTCTGAGTACCTGAATTTCTCAATAATCGGACATTGAAATGCAAAGGCGGAGATGTGATGCGCTTGACTCACTTTCAGGAATCAGACAAGACTTTGATTTCAAATCATGTGCGCTGAGACATGAGAAATTAGACATGAAAGCTGCTTTCTATAAGTATCTTAGCCAATCGATTTTTCCATGATTTAAATAAATCATATTTGGATTTTAAGAAACATATATATGCATATATTTATGTAAAGATAAATCCTTTTCTATTTCTTCTATTGCTATAATCCTTTACACTGCCTGAAGGTTCGAATGGCTTGCACAGCAATAAATCTAGAATTCAAGTTCATGTTTTAAGACTTTTATTCAGTTTTTAATTAAAAAAAAAAACAAAGTTTAATAATCTTTAATATTTCATAATATTTTATTTCTTTAACATTTATAACTGGGTCTCATATGCTGCCATTCAGTTAAGCATTACAGTAAATCAAATTAAATTCACAAGTGTTGTGTAGACTCGAAAATATTTTAATAATACTTATTAAATTGTATTACAGTTAGCTAAAGTTGTTCACTCAAAACTCGATTGCAGAAGTGTTTAAGAAAATATTGAATAACATTTGCATTGTGTCTTAGCTATGTGCAGTGCAGTTCGCATAGGCCAGGGTATAAGCAATAACTATAAATCATAATAAAGCTTACATGAAATAAATTAAATATGGCCTATGCGTTGCAACTGACTCGAAGTATATTGCAACAAACGGTGCTCTTATATACTCATATATTT